CTCCCCTTCCTGACTCCTACCCTTAGAAAATGTTTGGCATTCTTATTTAAGCTGCCCATGGTAGAGCAGACTTATAGCCAGGCATTAGGACAACTGTTTCTTCTTGAAAATAGTTGCTTCAAGTACTTATAAACCATATCACTAAAATCTAGTATAGGCTTTATGTAAGGCTTTATGTAATTTTCAGTATTGGTGGTCATGTCATGGAGGTTTTTGTTCAGGCACAATGATCTTTCCCTTTCTACCAATTGTGTCACCCTGTCACAGGCTTCCTATGGTGACCTATAAGTGGACCTTTCACCACACATTATCAAGTGTGATCCACTGTTATCACCATCTGACCCCCACCCCCCCATTTAGCCCGTAGCCTGTGCCCATACTGTGAACATTAAAGTTTTAACATCATCAGCTTAAAGCTGAACTCCAGGCTTGCCCTCAGTCTTGTTCAGTTGTACAGGGTTTTCTTCTGTACTGAAATTACTCTGAATTCACAGTGTGCATGAGAAGCTGCAGGAAGAGCCTGCCTCATTTTGTGGTCATCCAGCACCATCTAAACCTTTCCTTTGCATCTTGTGCTTGGCCTGCCCTTTCCAGTCTTGGGATTTCAGTTCTTTTAATCGAGTAATAGAGGAATTAGTCAAATGCACCATTCACTGGATTTCTTTTAAAATCAGATTTATTAATTATAAACGTATTAAGTAATAGTAATGTTTTTCACAAAGGTATGGTTCTACGGAGCTCATTTAACCACTGTGGATGGGTTCAGGGATAACCATTTCACTGCTGTCATCCTAGGTGTAAATAGAGAACTTCTGATCGCCAAAGATAGATGATCATCAAGAGTGGTAGAAATGAAATGTACTCTTGGATACATGATAGGGGATTTAGAATAATACCATATATATCACTGAAAGTAGAGACAACTCCCATCCAGTATCTTTTTAACTAGTAACATGGCCACAGGAGATGTATAAGATTTCCCTGGGGTTGACTACATCTTCCACAAAATGGATCTGATCGGAATCCTATCCTGTGGAGAAATTCACACTCTGTGAAGAATAAGGAGCTGAGTCAATTTGGGGGAAAGGGATAATAATGTTCACTGGATTGTTAAATCATCACACAGGCTTTGTTGATCAGAAAACACATTTGTGGCAATTCTGCCAGGTTTTCTCTTCAGGTTGTTTTATAATACACCTGAAATTCAGGTCTAAGTCTAACATGTCGGTAGCTGACTGGTTTGTATGCTGAGAATAATGCTACACAATAAGATTCATTATCATGTGCATAGTCTGGGCACAGGTTCACTTTAAGCAAACTAAATGTCATTCAGTTAGGGTTTACAATGACATTAAAAATTATTTTGGGGAAATATTAAAAAAATGTACTTCTACAAAGTGATGGATAAGACTTTAAAAAATGACTGGCCCTTTAGCCTGGACAAATGAATTGGAAATGCAGTACCATAGATCTGTTGGGTCACTGTATTTACAACAAAATAAAATGAAATAAATTCCATGTAAGTACATTTTCTATTTACATTGTGTCATGTGAATTGTTTCCACAGCCTTTCTGTCAAGGTCCACTTTGCTTGTGACAGTGTCTAGGGAGCAAAAATCCATGAACAACAGTGCTGGCAGCCAGTTCTATCTTAGATTAGAGTTATTGGATGACAATTGCATTCAGTCTTGCCTCCAGGTTCCATTTCACATTTCTCTTAGGTTAACTTAGTATAAGGTCTGACAGCACAAGATGCATCACAGGAACCCAAATGAGAAGATGATGCTGCACAGCAGGACAGAGTATTGGAGATAAAGTCATTCACAGGAACATTTCAAGAGAAAGAAATCTGATTGAAATTGTGTTAACATTGGCATGTAGCGATAAATGGGAGATGGAATGAACCAGTCATCTTAATTATAAATTGTAATGGTACTTTGCTCTACAATGATGTTACTATTTGGGAAGAAAATAGAGAATTTTTAATTGAATTGTTTCTATTGAGCATTGCCATATTGAATTTTTTCATATTGAACTTTTTAATATTCTAGTATCTGTTTCAGCATTTTCTACATTTTCTGGGTTTACACAACAAAATGGCTGACCTTTACAAGGTTTAAAGAATATGTAAATGCTAACAATTATCCTTCTATTATTTGTATGATTTTGACCTGTTCTATTGTACCATTCAAAGCTGCATTTTTGTCACTGGTTTAAAATAAATTGGGGAAGGGGGGGGGGGGGATTGCTCTTGGGATCATTTATAGGAGAAACAAATCTACATTATTTTTATGCGTTTCTTTTGCATTATTTTATACATCACAAATCAACTAAAGTGTTTCAAATATGTAGGGCCCAGTTTATATTGTCAAAACATTGAATCCATAAATATCCGTTCCAATCTAAAATTGATTTTACCCAGTGAACAGAGAAAGTCATTTCAGCCAGCTACACATTAGATAAATAGTTGTGAACCTAGTAAGTTATGTACAAGATATATAGTAGCGTCTCCACATCAGTGTTAATGGAATTAAATATTATTCTCTTGTTGACTGCTGTTTGTAACGCACAGTATTTGAATTGCCTCTCCAATTGCAAAAGCAACCACTGGTATCCTTTTATGTGTTTGTCTTTACTTGTAATGGGTCACTTAAACAACCCCTTCAGTCACATGGGAAAAATAATACAGCCGCTGTAAAAGGTTTCTGAAGTTGACTTAATATATACATATGCTGATTGCTTAACTTTCACAAAGTACGCTATATGGCTAAAAGTATGACAAGCTAAAAGTGGACAACGACCATCACTCCTTCTTCAGCTTGTTGGTCATCTCATCCCAAATCCATAGGCATTAATATGGAGGTCCCCCCTTGCGGCTATAATCTCCAATCTTGTGGGAAAATTTTCACAAGTTTTTGGAGTGTGTCAGTGGGAATTGGCGTCTGTTCAGCCAAAAGAGCATTTGTAAGGTCCAGTACTGATGGCAGATGAGAAGTCCTGGCTCGCAATCAGTGTTTCAATTCATCCCCAAGCTATTCAGTTGGGTTGAAGTCGGGGCTCTGTGCAGGCCTCTTGAGTTTCTTCACACCAAACTAGTTAAGGATCTGGTGTTGTGCACAGGGGCACAGCCATACCGGAATAGAAAAGGGCTTTCCCTAAACTGGTGCCAGAAGGTTTGAGGGGCATAATTGTCTCAAATGTTTAGCCACTTGCCTACTGGGGTGTTAAACCCCCTTCCTGTCCAGGCCATTTTTCAGTATTTAGCGCTGCAGTAGTTTGACATTTATTCAGTCATACAACGCTGTACTGAAATTAATTTTATCACTTTTTTGGGGGACAGATAGAGCTTTCTTTTGGTGGTATTTAATCACCACTGGGGTTTTTATTTTTTAATATTTACTATATAATGAAGTCCCGAAAATGTTGAAAACTGTTTCCCTACGTTATGTTATAAAACATTTTTTTTTACCCAATTTTTTGGTAAAAAATATAAAAGATGTGGTCACGTCAGGTAGACACCAAACATGTCGAGCTTAAAAATTGGGTAAAAAGCTTTCCTTTTCTTTTTTTTTTTTACATTTTATTGCTGTCACATAGGGGGCTCCTATGTGATAGCCAATATACAATGACAGGTCCTCTTTATGGAGACATCAGGGGTGTCTAAGAAGTTGTGATACAATCGATATTACACAACGCTTGTAGGTAACAGCCGGTAGCAGAAAAAAAATTACATTCAAGCACGTCCGCCCGTGTATATACAGTGGGCGGCGGGTAAGTGGGCCCCATTTTATTTGGGCCCACTTTAATGGCATTGAGGTGGCCCATTTTTTCTCCTCCCCTTTTTGGTTTTCTGTCCCGGTTTTTTCTTCCCCCGAGTCTTTTTTAGGTACACTTCCCCTTTAAGGCTTACCTGTTAGTTGTTTAGGCAGGAAAATCTTTGTCTCCTGCCCCTTCTTGAAGATTCCAGGTCGCTGTCTGGTGCCTATATAAAGAGGATCCGTCAAGGACAAGGTCACTTGGCTGTACTTGCAACACAGTGAGCTCCCCACCCGCCCTCCCTTCTTTTAATCATTGAATATTTTGTTGCGGCTTTTTATATGATATTGTCACTTCCATTTAGGAAGGGGACTTTAAGTCTGGTTTATGAGTGATTATATATTGCTTGGGTCTTGATGACTTAGCAATTTATGTTTGGTTTAACTGGATTTTGTGTTTAAGCTATTAACAGTTTGAATAAACTTTAATTTAACATTTAACCCAATAAAAGTGTCGCGGCCAATTTCTTCCACAGTTTGGTGTCTGTGTTTTTTATTCAATTTATTGTATTATACCGCCTGCAATCCCATGTCTTTGTATGCTATAGCATTACCAGTACTTTTCACTGGAAACACCTGAACTCAATAGTTTGGAGGGAATAGCCTCTTCACGGCAATATTATATTGGAATGGAATATTATTATCTTGTTGGGTGCTCTCTTTAAAAGACAAAGCAGTGACCAATGGTATCTTTATATGTGCTTGCCTCCGATTGTACTCCAATGTGTCACTTAGAAAACCCCTCCAGTCATAAATTGGAAAAGGAACACATTGTTCGTTTATCGTTCGTAAAGGAACAATTATCATTCGTAATCCAGCTATGCTCATGCAGTTCCAAAGGGCAAAGTTGAATCAGGTTATATCAGATATATCATCAGTGCTGACTACAGAACTAATTTTTTTTTAAATGGCTTCAGAAAAATTGTCTTAACCTATCCTTTGAGGGTCTGTTCACACTAGCCCACACGCTAAAACACTCAGTGTGATACTGCGGGGGTGTCAGTGTCACACTATTGACTTTTTTTTAAACTTTATTTAAAGTGTACACTGTATTCAGGTCTAAATACTGTGGTGCAATCCAGTGTGCTGCAAAAAAATTTAGCATGTCTGTTTCACACCACTCATCACACCTCCATTGCGGTGTGAACAGGACATATAGAAATCAATTGTTTTCTTTGTGCCCTAGCAGTGACTGGCTTTGTTCAGTTGCTGGAAAACACCACCGTTCATGGTTTGAAAGAGTCTTAAGTGTTAAGATCCTGACTTGTAGCCATTCCAAGGTATTTGTTAGGTGTCTTTGCCTGTGGACACACGTGCATGTATGAAGTCTTCCCTCTCTCTTGTTAAACACCCTTTAAATATGTGAGTAATCTACGTCTCTCTCCTTATCCAGCCAGTTATATTTTTATTGCAGTGTTGTCAGTCTAATTCCGTTTCCCAGTCCCTGCACACCAGCTTGTGTATAATCAAGTTATAAAAGTTCCCTACCGTGTTCAGCATGCCACATTTTTCACATTTACACATTGTCTGCTTTGCTCTTATTGAACTTAACACAGCAAAGTAGATTACATTTTCTTCGGCAAATTCAATGTAATAATGGTTGACTTTCATTTTTATTCCCACTTATACTTGTTCACATCTTAATGTCTGTTTTAATTTCCTTTTTCTCCAAAGCTTCGCCACCTTGGCAATGATGAGGTACATATCGTGTGGTCAGAGCACAGTCGGGAGTATCGTCGTGGCATTATACCCACTGAATTTGGAGATGTGCTACTGGTTATTTATCCAATGAAGAATCACATGTTCAGCATCCAGATCATGAAGAAACCAGATGTAAGTCACAACCCTGTCAGTCTTATTTCAGTTATTTCGTAGGGATTAAAGTGTATGTATAGCTAAAACCTTTTTTGTTTTCAATAGAGTAAGGAAGGGTTAAAACCCCTATTATTATTTTTTTGCAGTCTGTATCCTGCGGGAGATTTACCTTCGCTTACGCTCTTGAAGACGCAAGACGAAAGTGAGAGGAAATCTCCAAACATTCGTCCTGATTTGATCATTTCCTTTCAGCTCACTCTTTTGACAACTCTTATAATTTAGGATGTCTTCTTACATTCTGACTCTGTGGCAGTGGTCACCTGGACAATTGGAGTGGTGAATCTCCCAAGCAGGGACACACACTGCAATTTCCCAAAAAATTCTAACATGCACTTTAAAGAAAGTCCTCATCAGAGTCCTCTTTGGCTCTGTCAGGTGTGGCTGGATCAGACTCTTTGACCTCTTTGCATCTAGTGTGAGATTTTTGACAGACAGTGCACTCCGCACAGCCAGTTTAGGTCACTTGCCCAAATCTGTTTGTCCATAAAACCATTCAGTAAAAGGCGCTACCCTCACAGGGGGTTTCCAGCATTACACAGATACAAGTAATATTCAGCTTCAGTCACAAAAAGGTAAAGCTGACAGTTTAACTATAAAAATTATTGCCCGGGGTTAATTTGCACTTGTTTCAAGCAGAAGCGTATCTTTTAATAGAGAGACTTGCAACAGCAGTGGTGAGCGTATGCAGCAGTCTATGGTGTAAAATCTGAAAGACATATTTGTTTAGTCCTGTCCATATGTATTGTAATACATTTGCAAAGGAAAAGACTTCTGGGTAAATGCCATTGTTTTATGGCAGGACTGTAGTCAAACGCTTTATTTAGTGGCTTTTTTAATTATCACGCAGGCTTTGTTGATCAAAAAACACATCTGTTGCCAATACTGTTTCTGCCAGGTTTTCTAATCAGGATGTTGTTTAATACTCCTAAAATTCAGGTCTAACATGTTGGTACCTGGTTGGGTTATATGGTCAGGATAATGCTATTGTTACCTATTTGACAAGGTTTTCTGTTCTACACATTCTTTTGATCCTCAGCAGCTGCTGGGTTGAATGCCTCACACATGACAATGTTTATGGGCCACACAGCACTGATGACAGTTACATCCTTTGTATTGTGATTTGGAAAATGTAAATGGTTTCTATTTAACATTGGTCTCCTACACAGATCCCATTTTTTGGACCACTCTTCGATGGAGCCATTGTAAATGGCAAAATCCTTCCAGGCCTGGTCAGAGCGACAGCCATTAATGCCAGCCGAGCTCTTAAATCTCTCATCCCGCTCTATCAGAATTTGTATCCTTTTTGCATGGAGTTTGAGTTAAAAAAAAATGTATAAATCATTTTTCAGTTCACAATTTAAAGGTTGATATGCTCATTCTTAGAGATATGCTATTTTCTCATTGAGTCCTGCATTTTAAGCCATTTATTCCATGGGTCACAGTTTCCTCATGAGATATAGAGGGCGGATGGGACAAAATGATAGCTTCTTTGTTGAAAAGGATGGCTCTTCCTTTATTTGAAGCAATTTATGGCAACCCAGGTCCTGAAAGCTGATCTCCATGCAAATTGCTAAATACATATTGTCTATGCGATTTGTATTTCTGTCAAACATCTGACATCACTGATCTCCTCCCCGCTGAATGGAGCCGGAAACAATGCTGGTCCTTCAGCTGTCATTGCTCGGGTGCAGAAGCCAGGCAAGAAGCTATTGGAGCGCTTTGAAATAGAAAGGTGACACTAGGGGTCTAATAGACTCCTAATGTCATCTTAAGAGTACCTGTCAACACTAGTATGCTGTCACATAGGGGGATTTTGCGCCCCCCTATGTGATAGCAATTCAGTGAAGTAAAAAAAGTTTTTAAAAAATAAAATAATAATAGTAAAAATTATTTTAAAAAGTTTTTAAAGTCCCCCGCGAGCGCAAACGTATTAATGCAAACGGGCGTTGGGTGCACCTATGTACAAAAACGACAATCCTGCTACATGTTAGGTATTGTCGTGTGCGCCACAGTGAGAGGAATGATTCTAGGGCCTGTATTCATGGATATCTCTAAACTGGTGACCTGTACCGGCTTTTAAGGCGTCGCCTATGGCAATTTGGGGTACCATAGTTTGTCGCCAATTCATGGGCGCAAGCAGTTCGCATTATTGGCGTATTCTGACCCTTTGCAACAACACTTGAAATTTAGGTCAGGCACCTCCCATTTCTCTTGATCGTTGATGAGATGATTCTATGCCTTGATTGGAGTCCATCTGTGGTAAATTAAATCGATTGGACATGATTTGGAAAGGCATACACCTCTCTATATGAGGCCTCACCGCTAGAAATGCATAGTGTATCAGAGCAAAATCCATGAGGTCAAAGGAACTGTCTACAGATCTCAGATACAGGATTATTGCAAGGGACAGATTTGGTAAAGGCTACCAAAAAATTCTGCTGCACTGAATGTTCCCAAGAGCACAGTGGCCTCCATAATTCTCAAATGGAAGTTTGGCACAACCAGGACTCTTCCAAGAGCTGATCACCCGGCCAACTGAGCAAACAGCTGGGGGCGGGCGGGGCTCAGCGGTCCTTGGTAAGAGAAGTGACCAAGAACCCAATGGTCACTCTGACTGAGCTGCAGAGATCCTGTGTGGAGATGGGACAAAGTTCCAAAAGGACAACCATCCCTGCAGCCCAGCTAGGCACTGCTCACCACCTGCCCAATACCATCCCAACAGTGAAACATGGTGGTGGCAGCATCATGCTGTGGAGTACTTTTTCAGCAGCAGGGACTGGGAGACTGGTCAGGGTTGAGGGAAAGCTGAATGGAGCAAAGTACAGAGATATCCTCAATGAAAACCTGTTTCACAGCGCTCAGGACCTCAGACTGGGCTGAAGGTTCACCTTCCAACATGACAATGATCCTAAGCACACAGCCAAGACAACACAGGAATGGCTAAGGGGCAACTCTGTGAATGTCCTAGAGTGGCCCAGCCAGGGCCCTGACTTGAACCCTATTGAACATCTCTGGAGAGACCTGAAAAAGTCTGTCCACCACCAGTTCCCATCCAGCCTGACTGAGCTTGAGAGAATTGCAAAGAAGAATGGCAGAAAATTCCTCAATCCAGTTGAGCAAAGTTGGTTGCGTCATACCCAAAGACTTGAGGATGTAATTGCTGCCAAAAGTGCTTCAACAAAGTACTGAGTAAAGGGTCTGCATACTTAAGTAATGTGATATTTCAGTTTTTTCTTTTTAATGAATTCACAGACATTTCTAAAATTCTGTTTTCACTTTGTCATTATGGGGTACTGAGTGTAGATTAATGAGATAAAATGTAAACAACTGTAGTATCAGGCTGCAATATAACAAAATAACAAAAAACTTAGCAAAGTGAAATGGGTCTGAATACTTCCTGAAAGCACTGTATATTGTGTTTTTGGGCACTAAAATTAACTCGAGTGTATTTTTTACTAAATTTTTGGTTTTAATAAAGAGTTGCGCTAATATCGTGTTACATGCAACTGCCACCATTTTATTCTGCAGGGTCATTGTTTTCAGAAAATATATAGAGATTTATCAAAATCTGGAGCAGTTGCCCAGGGCAACCAATCAGCTTCTCTCTTCAGTTTGTTCAGTTAAGCTTTGAAAATGAAACAGAGCAGCTGATTGGTCATCATGCACAACTGCTCCAGATTTTGTCTGCTCCAGTGTTGATAAATTCCTCTCATAACATTTTGGGGGTTTTAAATAATGTTCAGGCCTACTATGTGGATTATAACACATCTGCTAAAAGGTTAATTTAGTTTTGTTTTTTCTTGGACTTTTTCTTTTAATTCAATGCTTTTTCTTACCATAAATGATAATTTCTTACCAGTGTACTTCTGGAATTGCTAGGGTATAGACGCTCCAGAAAGTGTCAGTTTCCTAGCACCGCCCACTCCCTCATGGTATGGCATATCTCCCCTCTTCTGGGGGTGGCTTATTACTGTCTGTGCTGGCCGATCTCCTCTGCCCTTCAGGGGGCAGCAGTGACAGATCAGAGTGGCAAGGTAGGAGTAGTTTTTAATACAAGGTTGCTTTAACCACTTCAAGACCAGGTGTTTAGACCCCCTTCCTGGCCAGGCCATTTTTCAGTGTTCAGCGCTGCAGTACTTTGACTGACGTTTATTCCGTCATGCAACGCTGTACTGAAATTAATTTTATACCATTTTTTAGGGACATATAGAGCTTTCTTTTGGTGATATTTAATCACCACTGGGGTTTTTATTTTTTATTATAATTAGGAAAAATTACAGAAAATTTTGGAAAAAAAAAAGTTTTTTTTTTACATTATGTTAGGAAACATGTATTATTACCCAGTTTTTTGGTAAAATATAAAAGATCGGATTTATTATTCTTTTTTATGTGTAACTTTAAATTTAGGGGGGACTTCATTTTTCCACTTCCACTAAACTTTATTGCTATCACATACGGGGGCTAATAAAACCCCCTTATGTGATAGCAAAATATGTGACAGGTCCTCTTTATGGAGACATCAGGGGTCTCCAAGACCCCTAATGTCACCTAGGACCCCCCAAAAGAAGCTGATGAAGCAGAGATCTG